TAGAGGGGGCATCAAATCTGGCAGAATGTCATCGTCCTGGCCATGACATCCACACACACAGCCACACACACACACACACACTTGTTTCGTCAGCGGCGAGGCGGCGAACTCCGCTGCAGCGAGAAGCTAGATGGGGGCACGAACTACCGAACTGGCCGGCGAGCAAAGAGGGAGGGGGGGACGGCCGAGAGAACGAAGGGCCACACACACACACACACACACAGCCTCGGTCCTCAGTGGCGGTGCTCACCAGGGGGCAAAGGGGGCAGGGGGACGGGGAAGAAGGCCTCCTCAGAAGCGGGGGTGCTCCTTGGAAGCCCGCCCCCCCCCCCGTTGCACCCCTCCTGCGCGTGGCGGGCAAGGTCCTCCGCCGCCTCTTGGACGCCCCCGATGCCCAGTGTCCGAGAGCCCCACCTGGCGAGAGGCAGACGGGTCCGGAGGAAAGGGGGGCCCTGGACCCCAGGGTCTGCTTCCCCCAGGGCGACGTCACATGTTCGGCCACGGACTCCTCCTCTCCTTTTTGGCGTCAGGCAGACTATAGCGACTGGGTTGTAGGAGTTCCTCCTCCTTTTCCTCCCCGCTCCTCCTCCTCCGCCTCTTTCTCATCATCATCTTGCTCTTCGTCCTGTTCGCCTCTTAGTTTATGAATATTAGTTCTAGTTTTGTATGTTTAATAATATTAGTATTAACATTCACATTCGTATGATTATGAATAAAAATAATATTCATAGTTTAGTACGATTGCTGGTGCTGCTGATGCTCTTATTCGCGAAATTAGCCTTAGTACCCAAATTCCGACTAATCGTATACATTAGTATTATCATGATTCATCCTAGTAGTACTACGATTACCCAAAGTAGTCGCACGAATGTTAGAAGTAACATAGTTATGAGTCGTAATGGTCTTCTTCGTAAAAGTATTGGTAACACTATGTTTCGTTTCCTTGTGTTGCATCATTATGACTACTTCACTTCATTCTTTCTTTCGGCATATCGCAAGGCGTTCACACCTACACGTCCCACAGTCTCACATTGTCTTAAATAAAGCACAGTACCGTTGCAAACCCCATTCGGAAGCCAGCGCTTCGGCCACAAATGCCGACTGCACTACACCAAACGTCATTCCTGCTCTATGCACGACATGGTGGGAGCCATCTGGAAGGTATGCTAAGATAGCGATGATGGCCGATCAGTGGCCAGAGCCTCGCCTGGTTCCGTCCACGCAGAGGCGGATATTAGTTTTCTCGGCATACGCCCGCGCCAAAAAGTCACAGCGTGCATCCTCCCACGGGCCTCCTTTGTCCAGTGCAAGGTTCGCCGCGTGATCGGCAAGATTATTATTAGTATTACATGTGTTATGATTATGACTATTAGTATTGGTAATATGCTTTACTACAACTGCTTCACTTTGCGTTGTCATTATGGTTTGATTATTAAACATGGACCTAACAGATTGTTATTAACATTAACACTATGTGTATTCCTCCTCCGCCTCCTCGTCCTCTTCGAACATCCTGCAAGGACGAGAGAAGGACAGGGACTATATTGCGAGATCGACCATGGACCCCTTGTTGCAAACCGCTCCTGGGCACTTTCCGGGGGCCTTCGAGCGGTCTTCGGCGATCTGCGGCGGTCTTCGGTGATCTTCGGAAGGTCTTCGGCGGTTTCTGGCAGGCCACGGCGGTTTCCAGCGGTCCTCGGCGCGAAAGCTGGATGATTGCGTTCAGCAAGGCGTCCATGATCGAACACTTAAACGATCGGGGAGACGTTAGACATAGGCACGGGAGACCCGGTTTGGCCTGACGGGGCCATCATGAAAATGACGAGACCCAATCTGACATTCGACGCGTGGCGAGATCTCTTCTTCGGGTGGTTGCCTTGAGCCCAAACGTCGACGTACAGACTCTCTTGGAGTAAACCTCTGGGGGTCTCTGGATTCCCGCAGCCCCTTCGCGCCGCCCAGCTCCTCAGCCAGGCACGACACTCGAATCCAATTATAGCTCCGAAGCTCAGCGAGAGCGCACAGCGCTCAAGACCACAACGTTGAATGAGCACTGCACTTCAAAAGCACACGCCATCGCCGCGCAAGCGACCGTTGCCCGCCCAAAGCAATGGAAGCGCGGGGCAAAGAACTACAAGCCAAAATGGCCACTGGCGCGCCTGCTCCCGGCGACCCCTGCCTGAAGGGAGTTCGCGAGCGGTGCGTCCGAGAGCTCGACATTCATCATCTTCAGCGCTCGGAGCATCGCCGCCTGGTGGAGGATCTTCGCCCCCAGGTCCGCCAGGTTTGCCTTCCCGGAGACCTTGGCCAGCTGGAACCGGCCGTCCTTCAACGCTTTCTGCACCCACAGCGTCGGCGTCTCGAGGCGCCTGACCTTGCCGCAGCCCCGGCGCTGCATGATGCCGAGAGCCGCCGCCGAGTCGCTCCAGATGCGAAGGCCCGCCTCCCTGCCTAGGCCCTGGCACAGCGACTGCATGCCGATCGCCCTGCCGGCCGCTCGCATGCAGCCGTCGAACTCCGCTTCGCCCGAGCTCATGGACATGGAGATCCGAGTCGTCGAGGCCGCCACTATCAAGTGCTGCCCGTGCTCGACCACGACCGAACTGGCACTCCTCCGCGTGATCGGGCAGCCCGCCCAGTCGGTGTCCGAGTAGATGTCCAGCACCGCCGGCGTCCGCTGACGGCCCCACCCCCAGATGGCGCGCCGCCCCCGAATCAAGAGACGCCCAGCGCGCTTCAGGAGGCGAAAGTGTCGCTCTTTCGGATTCTGCATGCCGCGAGCGCACTCCTTGGCCGCGAACTGCACCTCTGGCCGGTCGAGTGCCAAGTAGCCTAACCTCATGCACGCGCTGCGGCACTCCGCCGCCTCGTGCTCATTCAGCTCTTGCTCGACCTCAGGTGTCAGCTTCTGGCCCACCCCTGGGGTGCTCAACGACTTCGTAGCGTGGGGGTCCATCCCAAGCTGCGCGTGCAAGATCTGCGCGTGCCTGGGGCACGCCTCGCACTCGATGGCCTCGCCCCCCTGGCCCCATCGGTCTCGCCTGCGCACTACCCGGCTGAGGCGCGCGATCTCCTTCGAGTCGGTAGGTTCCGGCCCGAGCACGCCCCAGTCCATCACGATGAACTTCGTCTTCAGCGTCTCGCGGATCGACTCGGCCCCGCCCCGAGAGCCCTCGAGCACGAAGTCACCGCCGCGGCGAAAGAAACTCACCTGCAGATCCTCACGGCAGCAAACGCAAGGGGAGAAGGCCGACTGGTCGCAGCCGGCTCCGACGACGGCGCCAGCGGTCGCGAGCTCGAAGTTCTGGCCAGCGTCGCGCGCCCCGTAGAGCGCCACCCGCAAGAGCCCACATGCACCGACCTCCTGCGACATCGGGTGCACGCGACCCTCGGACGGGTCGCTCGACATCACCATGCTGCTGATGAGCCGAAGGCACCCCAGCGGCGGGGTCGGCGCGAACACCGCGCCGATGTCGTCCCCAGCGATGGTGCTCTGCGCCTTGGTCTCCTGCACGACGATCCTGGACCTGCAGTCCGGCCGGTCGGCGTCGCCCTTGTCGATGTCGACCCAGCGCACACTGAGAGGCTTGCGGCCAAGCTCGCGGTAGCAGTCCTCGTCCTTCGCGTAAACCCACACGTCGAGCTGCGCCATGAAATCCATCTCCAGGCGCCTCGCTGCCTTCACCAGCGCGGGGTCCAGCGGTAAGCCGGCGAGGTCGTCGTAGAATTCGGTCTTCAAGGTGTCGCGCCACCCCCCGACGAAGTCCTCCAGGCTGATCTCCTCGTCGTCCACGTTCGGCCCACCGTCCAGGGCCGCAAGCGCGAGCACCTTCTTGTTCCCGAGGTGCCGGTGGAGACCACGAAGGATGGCACGGAGGAGCTTCACGCGGTGCCTCTCCGCCACGCGCATGTTCCTGCCGACGAAGGTGGAGTGCTCGTGTCCGATGCCAACACCGGCGTCGTTGGGGCAGCGCTTGCAAACCTCCTCCAACACCCCCTTGTTGTTGCTCATCCACCCGGTCGGCTTCTTGGCGAGCCTGTCGCCGCGCGCGTCCGCGACCACCAGGCCGAACACACACTGGTCGCACCGCCCGACCTCGACGCCGGGGACGGCCATCACGTTCTTCACGATGTCCAGATCTCAGCTTTCCGCGCCCCAGGGGTGCTCGTGCAAGAACGCGCAATCGTTCTTTACCTGCAGCGTGTAGAGCTCCATCGCGAACCTAAGTTCTCGCACTCGATGGCGCAGACCTCACGCTGCATCTCGGCGCCCTTGATCAAGTACTTCAGCATGGAGAACGGCGCGCAGCGAGGGCTGCCCAGGATGAAGTGCACCTCGCAGTGCTCGATCAGCTCGCGGCACCGGCGCTGCTGCTGGCGGTCGGTCAGGCCCCACCCGACCCTCAAGTCGAACGAGCCGCCGTGGACCAGACCGAAGAGCGGGGCGAAGCCCACAAGCCTATTTGGGCAGATCACCTCCATCACGTCGGCCTTGCGCCCGCTACAGCCGAGCGAGAGCAGGAGGGCACCGACCTCTTCCTGCATGTCGTCGTCGCCTGGGTCGCGAAGTGCCGGAGCCATGGCCACGTCGGCCGCCGCCGCGGCCTCAGCTGCTGGCTGCACCTGCTGAGCCGGGGCTGGCCCGCCACTGCCTGACGAGCCGCCCTCTGGGCGAACCAGCCCGGCGACGTCGACGCGATGGCGCTCCCGCTCGCGGGCATCCTCGAGCCTCTGCTTTGCCTCATCGTCGTCCTGCATCACCTGCTCGATCCGAGCGCGGCACTCTGCCACATGTGCCTGCGCCCGGGCACCGCCGAGGATCGCGGCACAGCCGTAGCAGCCCGGGGTGATCCCGTACTTCGCGATCTCGACGTCCTTCCTGATGTAGACAGCCCGCGGCCCTGTCGAGGGCCGCCCGACTCGGGGAGCCCGAGGCAGGAGGTCCTCAGCCTCGGGGACTGGCGCCAGAGGGTCGCCGGCAGGCGCGACCTGCACCAGCACCGGCGCTCGAATCTCGATGGCCACCGGCACTTCGTCAATCGCCACGTCCGTCGGCACCGGCGCCCACGGCTTCCCCACGAGGCTGTTCAGCAGGTCCTTCTCGGCCCGCTGGTCGATCGCCAACCGCTTGAAGGCCCTGGCTCGCAGCACGCCCAACTCCGTGCCGATGTAGACCTCGCCCGTCCGAAGCGCGGGCCCCAGGTAGAGCCCGGCGAGGAGCTCGTCCTCGACACCGGTCTTGCGCTAGCCCCCTGGGAGATACAGGACCTTCTCCGAGAAGCAGGCCAGGTCCCCGTTGAAGGGGCGGCCGCGTCGAAGCACCCAAGCTGTCCGGCCGCCCGCGCCCCGCCTGCCCAGGTTGATGGACATGGCCGCGAACTCGACCATCCACGGGGTCACCGGGCGCTCGATGCCGACGCTCACGCCGTGGAGGTCGCCCACCTGCGCCCGCACAGTCGTGACCTTCGCCTTACCTCGCGCACCGCGTGCTCGGCAAGGCCGTTGCCCTGGGAGTCGCCGACCGCGCTCTCCTCAGGGACCGCCACGACGCCGTGCTCCTCCTCGAGTTTGGCCCCGACGCGGGTCTTCAAGGCGACGAGCGGCGCCTCGCCGTCCGAGCGGAAGACGAAGCGCTTGTGGCCAGCCGACGCCTGCCTCTTGGACCATGACTTCGCCGGCCAAGGGCGCTGCGCCCCCTTGGACGGAACCGTCGACGCGTGGAACCAGCGCTGCTTCGGGCCCTTGCCGATCAGCAGCGGCGAGGCGTCCTCCAAGTCGCCGAGGTAGCCGTTGTCGATGCCAACCACCGCGAACGCCGACTCCTGGCGGTCCTTCGTCTGATGGCCTGCTGACAGGCCCCGGCCGGAGACACACTCCCGGCACCATGCCCTGTAGGGCTCGTGCAGCACCTCGTGCACGGCTCGCCGCTCGGCCTCCGTCGGCGCCGCGGGCCCCCTCGCCGGTCGCACCCGCGGGCCCTCCGAGACCTCCTCGTGAGCCGGGCCTGACTGGCCGGCCTCACCCCTGGGAGGCTCCGGGCCTGCCACCTCGACCGGGCAGACCTCCGGCGCGCACGGGTCGACGTGCACGTCCATCTCGTAGACCTTGTTCCTGCGGCAGAACTTGACAACGTCTCTGCTGGCCCTGTGGCACGCGTAGCTCATGTCCTGCCCGCCCTCCGAGTCGAAGACGAGAAGATGGCCAGAGTCGACCATCTCCGCGACGCTCAGCAACGGCTTGCTGACGTCCGCCACCCTGAACTTGGCGGCGCGTGCCTGGGAGGCCCCAGGCATCGTTCCCACGAGGTGCTTCTCGCCCTCGTCACTCACGCAGTGGCCGGAGGCGGTCTTGCACGAGATCGCCTCGCCACCCTCGCGCACCAGGTAGTCCGCGCACGAGACGCGCGGCAGAACCGAGGCCGCCGCGTACGAGTCGGTGCCCACGCGCAAGATGCCGTTGAGCTCGTCCTCCTCCGCATCCGAGTTGCCGAGGATCATGCTCAGGACCAGGGCCACTCCGATCGCAGAGTGGACACCGTCCGCCTTGTCAGGCTCCGGGTCGTCGATGATGAGGGAGTGGAGGTTCGCGAACGGGTAGCTGTCCTGCTAGTCCGCGTCGCTCAAGCAGAGCGCTGCGATCTGCCGAGAATTCACGCCTGATATTGCCGTCGCCGGGCTCAGACTCGTAGTCGCAGACGTCGAAATGGAGCTGGTCGCCGACTGCGTAGTCGTGCTCATCAGCTGCGAGGCGTCGATGCGAGCCAGCGTCTGCTCCATGCTCGCCACCGCCCCCCTGCTCTTGCTCGGGCAGTCGCGCCGGGCGCGGCCGCGACCGCCGCAGCCCCAGCAGAGGGGCCCAAGCTGCTGGCCATGAGCTTTGCTGCCGGTCCTACCCTTGCCGTCGGACTTGGACTTGCCCTTGCTGTCGCCTTTGCTCTTCCCCTTGCCACCGGCCTTGCTCTTGCCCTTGCCACCACCCCTGGACTTGCCCTTGCCGTCGCCTCTGGTGAACGCACTCAGGTCCATGGGCACAAGCACCGGCGCGATGGCACTCTGGGCACGGCAGATCTCGGTGAGATCGCGTCGGAAGTCGGGCCACTCCACCAGCCGGGTCGCGTTGAGCAGGAGGCGCTGGCGGAGAGGGCTTTCCTCGAGCTGCCGAAAGACGATGCCAGTCCTCATGGAGGCCGAGATGGCCTCGCCGCTAATCTGCTCGTACCTGAGGAGCTCCCGCTCGAAAAGCGCCAGCCTGTCCTCGACATCGCCTGTGAACGCAAAGTTCTGGAGATTCAGCACCTGCCCGGCGATGCGCGACCTCGCAGTTGGCTCGTAGTACTCGACCAGCTTGCGCCAAGCCTGGAAGCCCTCATTCTCGCCAGCGTTGACGATCGTCGTCAGTGGGTGCTGCCAGCAGAGCAGGAGCAGGATGCAGCACAACTGCTGCGAGGCCTGCTTCATGTTGTCCTCCAGGAAGGTCGTCGACCAGGACCGGGTCCTCGTCAGCGCTCTCTACTTCCCGCATACCCGCTAGCAAGTCGGCATTTACCACACCGCAGTACGCCTTGAAGATCACCTTCCAGTCATTCCACTTGTGCTCCTCGCCTGTGAACACGTCTGGCTTGCCCAAACGTACGCGTGTCCACGAGAGCCTCCGGCCGAGGTTGCCGCGCGGGTGCCTCCACTCGCGGTAGAGCCTCTGCCACCCGGCCGAGCCGCTGCACCTCGGCCGCGAGGTCGTTACCCCGCTGCTGGCGGTTCTGCAGCTCCTGCGACATCGCCAGCACCTGCTGCTCCAGCGCGCGCATGCGCTCCTCCATCATCTCAGCGGCGGGCCGATCGCAGCTTCGTGAAGTCCTTCAGGTGCTGGCCCAGCGCAGCCCAGAGCCTCCGAAACCTGAACAGCTTGCGCAGCGACCTGGCGATACTCCGCCAGCTGCTGTGGACGACGGGCTCGAGGAGCTCCCACCCGTCGCCGCCTCAGCCGGGCCGCGCCGGCTGCCCTGGCGCGGCCCCCGCGCCGGCGGGCCACCCCGGGCTGCTGGGGCTGCCGGGGCCCCCCGCTTCACTGGCGGGAGCGGGAGCCGCGGAGCCCGACCCGAGGACTGGGAGGGCCGGGACCACGGCTCCGCTACCATGGCTACATATTTTTTCGGATGCTTGCCTTGAGCCCGAACGTCGACGCACAGACTCTCTTGAAGTAAACCTCTGGGGGGCTCTGGATTCCTGCAACGCGGGCCCCCCCTGCAGACACCCCACGAAAAAAGGGGCCGTCAGAATCCAGGACGCGCAAGTCAAAGAAAAAGTCGGCAAACCCGGGCTCCGGCTTACTCGAGTCTTACGTTGCCCCGAGACGAGAGACAACTTTTTTGTGCCGAGTCGTTTTCGGGCAGCCCGAGTCCTGGCACTTTTCAAAGCGCTTTGCTTTGCATGCTAAATCGGGACTGGAGTGCTGGCGAAGCCACGCCGTCGCTACCTGCTATCCGAGGGCGGCGTTTGAGTCGGGTTCGCTTGGAGGGTATCATCATCGGTACGTGAAGCTTGAGACAGCGTCCGTGACGAAGACGTCGGACTGGGGTACCCACGTCTCCTGCACGTACCGACTCTGGCTACCCCGGTTGATCATCTCAGTCACAAGCTTGACCTGTTTTGCCCGCGCGCACCCTTCAGCGTTCACCATATGTACCTCTGACGAGCTCCTCCTCGCGAACAGCAGGCAACTGCATGGAAGTCGCCGGCTCGCACGCGCGTCTCGCTGACTGTTTCCCGCCCAGAGGTGGGAGCTGGCTCCAAGAAGATGGAAAGGATGCGGAAAGCATTCAACTAGGGCGAGATTGATGTCATGATACAATTGGCTCAGAATTCCTTCCGTGGGACGCACAAGGACACGCTAGTACTACATGTCCTCCTCGGAAGCGCGCGCCCGACCAAATTATGCTATACAACCAGATTGCAGTATATCGCTTCCCGAACGGCACGGCCAGAAAGGGACCACCAAAGAGCAGATACAATAAGACTACGCGGTGCGCGCGTCGCCCCTTGTTGGGGAGACGCACTTTTTGCGTCGGCAGCTGGCAGAGTCACTTTTCTGTCGATAGGGCGCTGGCGTGCGCGCGAAAAGCGAAGTAGGCCACCACGCAGGAGGGGAGGGAGGAGGAGCCCGCCGGCTGCGGAAAGGGGAGACGCACACATTGCATCGGCATGTTGGGGCGAGGCCGATTCCAAGATTTCCAAAGCATTTAGCGGCGCAGCCGGTGCGGAACATTAGAAGATATGAGAAGTCCTGGAAACCTTGGAACCCAGGCCGCCGAGACTTGCTCGGCTAACGGCTGTAAGCCTTGGTGGCTTACGATACCAGCTGTAAGTTTCGGCGGCTAACGCTACCGGCTGTAAGCCTCAGTGGCTTACGCTACCGGCTGTAAGCCTCAGCGGCTTACACGCATGATTAATTATGTCATGTGCCATGGTACGCATGTAATATACCATACGATGTTAGTTGTAAGACAGCGTTACAACTTGGAATTGGTATGATACTATGCATGGTATACCGCGTTAGCATGCGTAGCTTGATATTGCGAATTAACATGGCATGCGCCATGCATCTGAAGATATATATGTTATTCATGAAGCATGGCGTTGTCACGCGTAGTTAATATGTTATACAAAAACAAAGATGTTGTATATGAATTAATCGCGCGCCTGGGGTCGGCGGACTGGCATCGACGTGAATGTTGCATTGTGCTTGTTATTGCGGTGGCCTTGTTTAAGGGATATTGAGTTTTCACGCGCCTGGAGTCAGGGGTCGGCGGGCTTGCAGTGGCGTTAATGTTGCATTGTCGTTGTTATTGCATTGGCCTGGCTTCAGAAACCCGGGGTTTTCACGCGCTTTGACGGTTCACTCAGTTTGCAATATAGTTTGGGATGTGTGGCTCTTCCCTAGCGACGCGGTGCTTTGGCACATTCTCGAAACGACTGGGAACATCGGGGCGCGCCCCCAAGAGGGGGGAAGAGCCCTCTGGGGGGTCGGGGGAGGAAGCCCTCGGGGGAGGAGGAGGGAGATCCTCAAGAGATCCTCGGGGGGGGCAGCCCTCTGGGGATTCGGAAGGGGGGCGGAGGGCCCACGGGAGCCCTCGGGGAGGCGGGGGAAAGCACGAGGGCGTAGGGAGAGGGGGCCCCATCGCCATCATCCGTCGCCGTCGCTGCCACGAGCCGCCACTGCTCAAAGCAGTCATGACGGGCGACCACCGATCGCCCAAGGGTTCTCCAGCGGCGCAAAGGCACACGTGTACTGGTAGAGCTGCGCTGGCCAAGATCTTACTTGACGGTTCACGGGGAAACGGATGCCCGATCCCAACCTTTTCGGGAAAGCTCTTGCGGTCGGGATGGCAGAGAGGAGAGAAGGAGGAATAGGGGGAAGATACGAGGTGGAAGGACAATAACGATAAGTGGTAGGAGGAGGAGGAGGAGAAGGGGGCAGAGGAGGAGTAGGATCAGGAGGGAGGCAGAGGAGTGAGAAGGGGGACGCCCCTCCCTCTTGCGCCCCTGCATCCGAGAGATTACAATGTCTTGCGGTACGGCACGCACCCTGGCATGGATCGCTTCGAGATTGCGCGCCAGGATGAGGTCATCAATCACGCGGCCATGTTACGTAAGATCGAGGATATTGCCCCGAACCTCTCCTTCACCGACATCGGCATTCCGTTCAGTTGCATCCAGCAAGACTGGATCTCCTTGACCCTGTCCTCGACGTCCTTCTAAACCTCTTCCTCGATCTCATGGAATTCCCCTCCTCCTCGAATACCGTCTGCCTTCTTCTCCTCCTCCTCATCATCATCCTCCCCATCATTATTGTCCTTCTTCTCATGTTTCTTCTCATCGCTCTTCTCCTCCCCTTCCCCCCCTCCCTCCTCGGGCCCTGCGCGTCCTCGAGAGGCGGCTGAGCTGGGGTTCGACACAGGTCAGCAGAAGGATTCTTGGGCTAGTTGAGCAAACAGCTGGGCTGGCACAGGTGAAGACCCCCATCCCCCAGAAATCCTCGTTTAGCGCTGAAGGTGTGAAACCACGCTGGCGCGCGCTTGTCCGACCTCTTCTTGCGGATCGGCTCGTACATATGGAGAGACGATGGGGGAAGGGGTCGGATGACTGAGCACGATGGAAGAAGGACAGAAGAGGATCAGGGAGGGCAGAACAGAGGAGGAAAGGGAAGGAAGGACAGAGGAAGAGAATGACAGAAAAGGATCAGGGAGGTGGAGAAAGGAGAAAGGAATGAAAATGAGGAGCAGAAGGAGGAGTAGAAGGGAGGTGCTGATCGTAGTGATCTCAGTGCTTTGGTTGAGTGGTTGCATGAGGCCCTCGCGGGCCCCCTCTGGATGACCTATGAAGTAATGGAGGCCCAGCTGGGCCAGTGTGTGCTTTGTGCGTGTTGAGTCTGTGCCGCAGCATTTTGGCTTGCCTCGGGCGAGGAAAAGATAGGGCGGGGGCCCCACTCTCGAAGCCATCTGCATTGGTAGCGGAGCGGGCCGCGCGATAGCAGGCGCTGTCGCTGGGAGGCACTCAGGCGAGTGCGGGCGGTGCTCAAAAAGATGAACGCGGACGCTGGGCAGGCCGGCGGCATCAGGAGATTTGCTGGCAACGGAGCCGACGCTTTTCGCGACTATCGGGTGTGGAAGAAGTGGGCTCGGGCGCACATCATCGTGCAGCGGGCCAAGGGCACACCAGCGACGGCAATGGGGCCGATGCTGTTCACACTTCTGGACGATGTGGCGGCGCGCGCGATGGAGATCATTGACATGGACGACTTGGAGACGGAGGGAGGCGAGCATGTGCTGTTCGATACGCTGGATGCGCGCTTCCCGGACGTCGCGGCGCACGACAGGCTGGGCGAGGCACTCCAGGGGGTGTTCCCGCTGAAGCTAGCGAAGAATGAGGCGATGGCGGCCTACTGCGGCAGGGCTCAGGCGTCGTTCGCCAAGGGCGAAGCCGAGGGCGTAGCGCTGCCCGACATGGCAAGAGGCTACTTGCTGCTGCTGGGTGCACATCTTCCACCACAATGCTTGGCCGTGGTGCTCGCGGCGTCATCGAGATCGCACAAGGAACGGGACGTGGCATCGGCGCTGAGGACGACATTTCCAAACGGCCCAACCGACTTCGGCCAGCAGCAAAGGACATACAACGCGCACGTTGTCGAGGACGAGGAGGACAGCCACCTGGACATCGAGACGCTGATGACAGGCCTTCAGGAGGACGACGAGGACGAGAACGACATCCTGGACGAGAGCGAGGCCATCGAGATTCTGGTGACGTGGCAAGTTCAGCGCAACAAGATATCCAAGGAGCACCTGGCGCGGGGGTTCGGTCCAAAGAAGCCGGACATCAAGAACATGGCGAAGCGGGTGCGATGCTACAACTGCGACGAGGTCGGACACTTCAGCAGGAATTGCACGAAGCCGAAGAGACAGCGACGTCCACCGCCACGTGATGGCAAAGGTAAGGGCAAAGAGAAGGGCGTCAACGTGGTGTACGCTTTCGAGGACGACGACGACAGCTTCGAGTGCGAGGTCTGCGAAGACGAGGCTCAGATGGAGCTAAGGGGTCACCAGGGCGACCAGACCGACGAGGTGAACTCCGAGGATGAGATGGCCGCGGTCATCGACGCCTACGAGGGACTGGAGGAGGACGTGCATGACCTCATCCAGGAGTACTGGAACCTCAGCGGTCAGGACGGCGACTTGGAGTACCCAGAGGTGCTGAATACGACAGCTCACGAGCCGGGAAACGGCGTGGTCGATACTGGATGCGGTAAAGGAGCGATCGGCGAGGAGACCCTGTCGCAGCACAAGCAGGAGATGATGAAGGAAGGACTGGAGGTGAAGGTGATGAAGCAAGAGAAGGCCACGACGTTCAAGTTTGGAAATCAGGAGACGCTGTCGTCAATCTAATCGGTCGAGATGCAGTGCCGGGTCGGCGGGAGGATGCTGATCCTTCGGCTGTGCGTGGTGCCAGGCAGGACTCCCTTGCTGGTCAGCAAGCCGATGCTCAAAGCTCTCGGCGCAATCCTGGATATGGAGCGGGACGAGATCAGGTTTACCAGGATCAACGTCGCAGTACCTCTGAAGGTCGCCGCCAGTGGACACTACCAGCTGAATCTCTGCGAGATGAAGAACGGCGAGAATAAGAAGATTCAGACGGCGGAGATTGATGTGATGGCGACGTCGGAGGCAACCGACCTGGAGGAGTTCGCGGCGGCTGCGACGGCAGGTCTTCGGCAGGGCCGAGCCGGAGCCCTGAGGCCAGCGACGACAAGGAGGAGTCGGAGGCGCACTGGACCGTGGGGGTGACGGACATCATGAGCAGGAAGGCCAAGAAGGAGGTGGTGAAGGGAGCCAAGGCAGCGCAGGCTCGTCTAGGTATGCAACCGAAGTGTCTTGAACTGTTTTCGGAGCCGCGGCTACCCGTGGTGTTCGAGAACCTATGCTTCCAGAACCTCGGTGCCTTCGACCTGAAGAACGGCTGGGACGCCCGACGAGCTGAAGATAGGCATCACATCCTGCACTTGATAGACGCGGAGGAGCCCGAGTTCATCAGCATGAGTCCTCCTTGCAGCGCTCTGTCGATCATGCAGAACCTGACGCCGGAGTCTAGCAGGAGAGACCCAGAGGAGCATCGGAAGTTGGTCAAGGAGGCGACCGGGTACTTGCGATTCTGTGTGGTGGTGGCGAAGATGCAGATCAGGAAGGACAAGTATTTTACCATCGAAACTCCACCGAATGCGAAGTCATGGGACTGCGTCCCCGTGAGGAACCTGTGCAACGAGAAAGAGGTCCACCGGGTATCAGTCAGTGGCTGTCGAGTGGGGCTTCGCGATCCTGTCTCGAACATGATGATGTCAAAGGAGTGGTGTTTTGCAACCAACGCGGACTCGCTGAAGTGGGTGATGAAAGAATTACGATGCCGTCGGGACCACGAACATCAGTGGTGCTGGGACAGCATACAAGGTATCAAGAGAAGTGTATATTCCGAGAGGTATCCGAAGGCGTTGTGCAAGAAGATCGCAGAGGCAATGCTGTGCCAGCTGGAGGTGGACGACATCAAGTATTGCACGGAGGTGCTCTCGGTGACTGAGGACCCCGAGATCGTGAAGATAAGGAAGCTGTCATTGGAGTCCTCTCTGCGCAGGCTTCACGCGAACCTGGGGCACCCGAGCAACGAGGACATGGTGCGCATCCTGAAGCACGCGAAGGCCAGCGAGATGGTGATGGCGATGGCTCGGAAGTTCTCGTGCTCAGTCTGCGAGGGACGGAGGCTTCCCAAGTCCTCCCGGCCTGTGAAGGTTCCGTCCAAGGTGGCGCCATTGAGGCTGGCGGAGATGGACGTCAAGGAGTTGCCTGGCTGGAAAGAGGGCATGAAGGTAAAGGCGCTCAACGTCGTGTGCCCGAGTAGCGGTCTTCAGCAGATGACTCCCTTCTTCGATCAGGAGACGGGCAAAGTGCTGATGGAGATCTTCGAGCCCAGCTGGAGCATGCCCTACGGACCGCCCAAGTTCCTGAAGTGCGACGCTGGGAAGACCAACCTCGGGCAGGACATCATCGACTCCTTCGAGAAGCAGGGCATCGAGGTGACGGATGCTGCAGGCGAGGCGCATGAACAAGTGGGGCATGCCGAACGCCACGGGGCCTGGTTCGAAGATATCCTCAACAAGGTACTCGACCAGAACGTGCCGAAGGACAAGGACAGCTGGACCGAGTGCGTCAGGGCAGTGGTGATGGCCAAGAACTCCCTACTTCGTGCTCACGGACATTCTCCATACCAAATTGCACTGGGACGTAACCCAGAAGTACCGTCCGACCTGATGCAGGAGACGCCGAACGTGGTGGTCAACAGCGCCGCCCTGCACGACGAGCCGTTCGTCGAGATGGGGAATCGTCGTCAGTGTGCTCGTCAGGCCGTGCTTGAGTACATGGACAAACGAGCTGCTCGCGTTGCTCTGGATAGCCGACCCAGGACTGCTCGCATTTTCCAACCAGGTGATCGTGTTGCTGTGTGGCGTCGTGGACGAGGCATCCTAGGTAAAAAAGCTCACGCCCGATGGCGAGGTTCTGCTGTCATTCTGGGACCTGTGAGGGGAAACTACTGGGTGGCCGTGCCGGGCGTTGTGATCAAGGCCGCCCCTGAGCAGCTACGCCTGGCCACACCTGAGGAGAAGTTGGCTGCTGAAGTCGTTCAACCTGAACTTCGTGCTCTGGCGAAGGAATTCATGGACGGCCAGGGTCCGCAGCGAGGCTTCATGGACATCACGGCAGACGAACGACCTCCTAGTGGCGTAGGTGGAGGACAGCAGGCGCCAGGTCCCGATCCAGCTCAGCAGCAGGAGACAGAGGGGCCAACGTCTGAACATGGCGCAGACGATGGTCAGGAGGAAGTCGAGGCGCAGGACGAGGGTGAGCAGGTCGCAGGTCAGGAGGATGTTCAGGAGGAGCAGACCAAGCAGACGGCGAGACGTCGCATCGTCGGCAAGAGGACGGTGACGGAGGAGATGGTCAGGCCGAACAAGGTGCACAAGCAGGAGGGTCCTGGTCAGGAGCAGATCGTCAAGGAGCCGCCTCAGAAGGTTCCAAGAGTCAAAAAGGAGAAGGACTCCCTGATGGTGATCGATGCGGAAGAAGACGACGAGAAGCTCAGAGTGCTGCACGTGAACCCAGAAACGGAGGAAGAGCTAGAGGACGCCTTACTGGCTGGAGGTCGGCGAGAAATCAATCGGAAGGACCCGAAGTGGCAGAGCCCGGAAGGTGAGAAGATCCTGGCAGGCGTGACGAAGGAACTGACGAATCTGATCGAGGTGAAGCAGGCGCTCGAGCCACTGGACAGGGTGAAGTCAGACGAGGTGCGACGGTCTACGCCGGAGCGGATCGTGGGGAGCAGGATGATCCTGACCAGCAAGATCGATGACACAGACTCAGAGATCGTCAAGGCGCGCCTTTGCAGTCAAGGCTACATGGACCCCGGCCCGATGAAGCTGGTGCGAGAGAACAAGATTTCTTCTTCTTCTTCTACGCTATCCCAGAACGACAAAGTGGTGGCCTACCAGTTGCTGGCATTCCCACGGCTTCCAGATCCAGATCGGCGACGTGGAGGGCGCGTTCCTGGAGGCCGATCCGATTCAGCGTGAAGGTGGTGACCTCTATCAGCGACAACCTCGAGGTGGTCTGCCCAGGATGCATCCCGACCAGCTGCTGAAGTTGATCAGGCCGATTTACGGTTTCAACGATGTTCCAGCTCAGTGGTGGGGCAAATTGAAGAACACGATTTTCGACTGGCTGCGGACTGGCGAAAGTGAGGGCTGGAGGCAGTCGAAGCTAGACCCGTGCCTGTTCTTGCTCTTCGAGGGCGGCAAGCTATGCGGTCTCATTGCTACGCATGTGGGCGATATCTTGACTGGAGGAAAACGTAGAAATATGATGCCTTTCTCAAGTACCTCAGGTCAAAGTTTCCGCTTCCGAAGTGGAAGATCAATGAGGGCAAGTTCTGCGGGTCAAACATCATCCAGGATCCCAGGACAAAGGAAATGACCGTATCTCAGAAGGAGTTCGCCGAAAGCATGAAAGCTGCAGGAGTCAGACCTCGAGCTCCTCCTGGGACCCCAGCGACCGACAAGGAAATCGCGAACTTCAGGGCCATGCTTGGAAGCGGTAACTGGCTAGCTCGAGAGTCCAGACCTGATCTAGCAGCGCAGGTATCCATGAGTCAACGATGCATGCCGAGGCCGACCGTCGGTGAAGTGAGACACGGCAATACCGTCGTTCGTCGAGCTAAGCAATTTTCAAATCTCTCGCGGAAGATTGAGAGTCATCATGCACTCTGACGCGTCCACTCAAAGCGCGTCGAAGTCGGGTACACAGGTTGGATATGTCATGCCGCTACAGACGAGAGGATGATCCAAAACGAGTTGAGCCCGTGGAGCCCCGTGGTCTGGAAGAGTTATCGTTTGCGTCGTGTGACGTCGTCTACCCTAGCCGCAGAAACACCAGCTCAGATGGACGGTCTTGGGCATCTGGAATGGGTATCCTGTTTACTACTAGAGGGGAGTAACGGTGAATTATGTCTTCGTCGTCGGGCTGAATTTCTTCCACTGTTGACCCCCACTGCCGTCACTGACTGCAAGTCGATGTATGATCATATCGTGGGTTGCGGGAGTGCGGGGTCATGTACTGACAAACGTGTTGCTGTCGATCTAGTGATCACGAAAGAGAGTGTGCGTCGTCTTGGGCATTGCTATTGGTGGATACCATCGGCCCTGCAGTTGGCTGACATCTTAACTAAGGAAAAGGCCGAACCCGCCGACATGATGAGAGCTACGATGACGAGTGGAGAATATCAATTAGCTGATGAGCCAGCGGTGATGGCAGCAGCAGCTCGGGAACGGATCCGTCGTCAGTTACTTTCGGCTCGGTCTAAGCTAGATTCTAGCAACGCGAACGCCAGGAGTGATTCCAACGGCCGAAGTCGCCATGGTGAAGTTCGAGTGTCAGCTGTCGGAGGACGAGGTGAGGAGCCTCTTCGAGAGCATTCAAGTGGAACCAGTTCGTCACTCCGGGACGACGTGCAAGGTGGCGACAAATCTACGCACGCTTGGCGAGTGGGAGGACCGCAACAACAGGACGAAAATCACACTGACGTGGAGCAAGGGAACCGGGAACATTGCGATTCGGACGGCCACGGGCACGCTGGATGCCGCGTACGCTGCCATCCTGAAGGACAAAGAGCCGCTGGTGCTGGACGGCATGAACGACGTCATCACGAGTCTGAGGGTGCCGCCGGAGCACGGGTACGAGGGCCCAGGCGCGTCCGATTCGGAGACGTGGAGCGTCATCTCTTCGAAGTTGCCGAACAGCAAGGAGTTCAAGACAGCGATCGAGAACCAGTGCGAGTGGGGGAACCAGGAGCTCCAGGACTTCGAGGACCAGCGGCCGAACATCCATTGTTGTTTGTCGTTCTCTAGCCAGATGTGTCTCACGGTCCGCCTCCTCATTCCCCCCCCCCCCCCCGATAAACCCACTTCCAGATATCACGACCTGCTTCAGGACTAAGTTTTTTATGTCACTTACATAGTGAGTACAACTGGTTCTGCATACTGGCGACGGTGCGCGTGCACACTTCGTTCAAGCACTTATATCGGCCCGTCAACCATCTAGTTACACATTGACTGTCTCCCCGCAGTTCCATACACAGCCAGCCGCATTAATCCTCCACCGCGTTTCATCTGAGAACAAAGCCGCCAGTCTTTTAGCCTGACGGTCGAGTTCTTTCTGTTGTTGTGCAGCAGTATCCTCCTTCTCGTCCTTCTGATGCATGCCCGAAGAGGCGTCCTTGATCCGACAGAACTCTGAAATCTTCGTCAGCTCCAGTTGTCTGAGCGTATCGACTGGCGCCGGCGGTGAACCGTCAACCTGGTCTGCGATGTCTGCGTTGGCCGATTCGAGCTCCCAAGGGAACAGGCCAGGACACAGAGAACCTAAACAGCGAAGCTGCAAAGATTGAAGCAGAGATGCATCAAACAGCGAAGCTGTACAGAAATGCACAAGACTGCAAGTACACGAGAAAACAACTAACAATATAATGAGTGAAGCAATGCAGGCCATAGATATGGAAGCAAAGCTAGAAGCAGTGAGAGACCATACAGTAACCACTGGTTTATACAGCGATTACCGTCTCAACACCACTGAGACAAACACGAAACTAAGAGAACTAAAATAGCGAGTGCGCTTCAAAGCAATGCGAGACCATACAGTAACCACATATAGCGATTACCGTCTCAGCACCACTGGAAGACCATGCACGTGAAACACGACGTCGAAATGTGGACTAGATAACGAATTAAACGCGCAACATACAGAGTGAGCCAAGACACCCACCACTACTTAGAGCGAATGCGGGCTCTTATCCGAACAAAGTAAAGATCAGGCGAAGCTCTTATTCAACACACGTGCATGCACGACAACACACACAGGCATGAATAAAGGCAACGCAATGACAAATCACAATAGTTCTAACTCGAAGTATGTGGAAATCAAGCGCAATGAGTTCTGAACTCCACTCGAGGCGACGTATGACCTCAATATCAAAGACCTCAATATCAAGTACAATGAATTCTGAACTTCACTCGAGGCGAAATATGAAATCGGATGCCCAAAGACCTCAATATCAAGTTACTCCGATGTCACAAAACTGTCAAACTACTGAAGAAACTCGAACTGCAACTCTAACTGCAACTTCTAACTCACGAAAGAAACGATTCCAACCACCCCTCGAAGATTCCCACTGCGTTGTGAAAAAAAAGAGTACTCAGACTGCGACCAAAGTCAAAATTGGATACGTGCTGAGAGCAACTCGTACTAGATAACAAATGCGGCAAGCACAATCACAAGCGGCCTGGAAGTACAAGCAGACAATGCAACAAGTACAAAACAAGCGGCCTGGAAGTACAAGATAACAAATGCAACGAGTACGATCAAAGCAAGCGGCCTATGCACCTGCTCCAATAGGAGCTGTCTCACTTGACACAACAGAGAACCTGGCACCTATCGTCCGTAGGACCACGGAGAGGAGGTCGTCGCAGCCGACGAAGTACCCGAAGATATGGGACGGCCCGTACACGAGATGTACAGTGGAGTACGATATGTGTGTGCACAGAAAACCTGTCCGCACAATGCGCCTCGAGGAGGCCACCGACGGGCCAGGTCGCCGCTGAGCTCCCCGAGGAGGGGCAGCAGCAACCTGGTCACGGCCGGGAACCTCGTAGAGCTCCTTGCACGCGTAAGAGTGCCCAGAATCAAAGCAGAGAACTTCGCAGAAGATTGTCTTAAAATCTTCATGTTTGCATTTTGCAATGTTAATATCAGGTCGGTTCCCGGAAGTGAACCGATTGTAAAACTCCCTGAGGAGAGCTGAGCTGCTCTCAGAACACACTTTAGACACTCATGCTCAGCGCAAAAATTTGGATTCTCAAAATGAATTGTTAAATATCTTTCAAATCTTAGCAAAACCGACCCAAAGTTATCACATTGTCCTTTCTGGTCGGGTCGACCAACTAGCTCCACCCCGCGCCGGACTTCCTCTCGCTCATCGATGCCGAAGAGCTCTACGAGGCACATGAGCTCGAGCCCGAGCCCAAGCCCGAGCCCGAACACAAGCCCGAGCCCGAGCGCAAGCGCACGCACCAGCGCAAGCCCGAGCGCAAACCCAAGCCCGAGCCCGAGCGCAACGCCAAGCTCGAGTCCGAGCGCGAGCCCGAGCCTGAGCCCCGAGCCCGAGCTCAAGGCCGAGCCCGAGCCCGAGCCCAAGTCCGAGCGCGAGCCTGAGCCGGAGCTCAAGCCCGAGCCCGAGCCCGAGCCCGAGCCCGAGCCCGAGCCTGAGCCCAAGCGCGAGCGCGAGCGGAAGCACCAGCGCGAACCCGAGCCCGAAGGTGACCGAGCCCGAGCGCGAGCCCAAGCCCGAGTGTGAGCCCGAGCCCGAGCCCAAGCCCGAGTGCGAGCCCGAGCCAAAGCTTGAGCCCGAGCCCGACCCCAAGCCCGAGCCCGAGTCCGAGTCCGAGTGCGAGTCCGAGCCCAATCCCGAGTTCGAGCCTCAGCATCAGCACGCTCTAGAGCCCAGCTCCGAGCCTGGACATCTTTCTTCACACACATGAATGTTCGCGATAGAACAGAGATCATCGAGAAAGGTACTATTTAAAACTTCAGAATTTCATTTTTTTATGTCAACATACTATCGGTTTCTCCACGTCGTTTAATAGTAACACAGCATCTAGAATGCTCAGATTAAGACGCAGAGCTTCTCATGGCACGTTACGCGTAGGAAAAATACGAATGCTTAAAATATGACCAGCCAAATCCCTATCAAATCTAAAAAAATCGAGCCCAAGTCACCACATTGTCCGTTATGGTCGGGTCGATCAACTAGCTCCACCCTGCGCCCGAATTCCTCTTAGCTCATCTTGACGAAGAGCTCTACGAGGTACGAGAAAAGATGTCCAACCCTGCTCAGTCCAACACATACACTGATCCCAATGGGGCCGGCGGTAAGCTGGCGCCGGCAGTAAACCGTCAACCTGGTTACCGCCTGGGACCTCGTAGAGCTCCTCGCGCGCCCGAGTTCTCGGAATGGAAGCAGAGAGCTTCAGAGATCATCTTCTTAAAAATCTGTTCGAAAACATGTTCCATGTCCCCATCCGAGCCCGGGTTCGAGCCCGAGCATCAGCACGCTCTAGAGCCCAGCTCCGAGCCCGAGCAACTTTCTTCACACAAAGGAATGCTCGGAATAGAACAGAGATTATCGGGAATGGTATGATTTTAAACTGGCGCCGGCGGTGAACCGTCAACCTGGTCTGCGTAGTCTGCGTTGGCCGATTCGAGCTCCCTGGAGAGCAGGCCAGGACATAGAGAACCTAAACAGCGAAGCTGTACAGGAAAACAGCGAAGCTGCAAAGATTAAAGCAGAGGTGCATCAAACAGCGAAGCTGTACAGATATGCACAAGACTGCCAGTACACGAGAAAACAAAAAACAATATAGTGAGGGAAGCAATGCAGACCATAGATATGGAAGCAAAGCTAGAAGCAGTGAGAGACCACACAGTAACCACTGGTTTATACAGCGATTACCGTCTCAACACCACTGAGAAAAATGGTGATACACAAATCCTTCGAGTAATTGTAGGCAGAATGAATTATGACGGAATTCGGCGCTGGCCACAGTTCCGGCGCGACGAATCTATTGTAAAAGACACGATAAACGTGCAAACATGCCTTGTGCAATTTTCATGCCAGAATAAGCATAAATCTGCACACGTCCCTTGGACAGAAAACAATGTGTTCTACGGGGTGCGATGCGCATAACGCGATGCACGCCCGCGGCACTCCGTCATAAATGTAAGAGAAGAAACGTGCCAAATCCTCTTATGAGAACTGTCAGCGGAGAGCGGAAGGAAAGCCAGCGGGAGAGCGGGAGAGGCCCAAAGAGCCAAAGCGAGCCCAGGGGCAGAAACAGCGGGGGAGAGAGAGGGGGGGCAGACCAAAACAAGCGTGCATGATCAATCACATGTGCATCATGTGTGCCGTTTCCGATGCTTCTTGCCGCTCCGCGTCAATGCACTCCTGGAAGTCGAACTCTGAGAACCCCCCTGTTGCGAATCATCTTCCTCGGAAATTTCAATTCCCATTTGAAGCTTGCATGCATTAACAGCCTCAAGCCTACGCTGAAACTCCTGTCTCGGGAGCCGTTGCAGCTCACGCCAAAGAGCACTTACATCGACACCGGCAAGGGCCCAGTCCCTGGCAGCTTGACACTCAGAGCGTGTCTCACTCGGTCGATCTGCAGAATTCCCAGTCATTGAACTCCCTACTGCATCAGCTGAACTCCAAACCGCGGTACTCCCAACTGCAGAACTCCCAGCTGTTGAACTCCCAACTGCATCAACAACTGCATCAGCGGAACTCCGAACTGTGGAACTTCCTACTGCAGTCCGAACTGTTGAACTTCCGACTGCACTGGAACTCCCAACTGCATCAGCTGAACTCCAAACTGCGGTACTCTCCACCGCACTCCCGTTGGTCGCATATCTCTTCATTCTGAGAGAAGCATCACCCCGATCAACGTGCACTCGATGACACTCCTCCTTCTCCTCCTCACCAACAAAGAGAACACAAAGATCAGTCTGAGTGCCACACGCAATGTGAACACAGGGATCTGTCTGAGTCCCACAGTCGGAACAATGCGAAAACAAAGAGTTGCCAGCCAATTCAACAGCACCCATATCACTCTGTATTCCATAAGTTCCTTTTCTACTCAGCGTAGCTGTCTGATGACAGTCAGCAGAAGCACGATCGGCTGTAGACGAGGAAACAGGATCGATCAATATCGAAGCTATGTTTGACTGGCAAGTACATTTTCGCACACTAGTTTTGGCAACAGGTGAATCACGCGGCACGAGATAATCTAAAACAACTTCGGCAGTCGTCCGTTCCAGCCCTGGGGGTGGGAGACACGTAGGCGGCACCATACCTTCCAGAGGCAAGCCAATAAGCCGTTGCACACAGTAACTGTTCTTAATGGCCAGCGCCTGAGACATAATGCGAGCACCTGCACTCCGTACATGCGGCATAGCGAAAAGGGACCACAAACAGCTGCAGGTGACATAACCGCACGAGAGCAAATAGATTGAAGACCACTCAAGGCGATCAAACGTGTGAGAGGAATGGCACTACAAGATCCCTCTATACAAAATGGTTATCTCCACGCGAGACGAAGGTACAATACAAATTGCCACCACCAAACCGCAACAAGACATGAATATGAGAGGCCAACAATGACAAGCAAGATGAACGGGGAGATGGGCAGTTGCGTAGGCAGGACAAAACACCCGCAGCTGCACGATGCAGCTCGAGGAGGCCCCGACGGGCCAGGTCGCCGCTGAGATCCCCGAGGAGGTACAGCAGCAACCTGGTCACCGCCGGGAACCTCGTAGAGCTCTTTGCACGCGTAAGAGTGCTCAGAATCGAAGCAGAGAGCTTCTGTGAGAATTTCTGGTCAAACGTCAAAGTATTTGTTAAATTTTCCAACCATCCTATGGTGTTGGGTCCTCGTTTGACAAAAACGGCGCCCCGCGTTCCTCACCTCCTCCTCCTCCTTCCCCTCCCCGTCCCTCCTCCCATCATCGTCATCATCATCATCAGCATCACCACCGATTTTGGCACACCCCTCACACGTTTCGTGGCCCCATAGGGAGCTCCACCGAAGGCCCCAGTGGCAGGGTTCGCATGCCTCTCCACCACCCATTTCGGCACACCCCTCACACGTTTCGTGGCCCCATAGGGAGCTCCACCGAAGGCCCCAGTGGCAGGGTTCGCATGCCTCCCCACCACACATTTCGGCACACCCCTCACACGCTTCGTGGCCCCATAGGGAGCTCCACGGAAGGCCCCAGTGGCAGGGCTCGCATGCCTCCCCACCACCCATGTCGGCACACCGCCCAGATAGCCTCGAAGCGGCCTACCAGAGCGGAACGCTCCATGTCGCAACGGCTGCGCCGAGGAAAGATCACGCTACTCGCATCACTCTGGAGCCAGAGGTGCACGCAGATGGAGAGTATCTCGGCGTTATCCTTGAATGGGTTGGCAACCGAGTATACCAGCACGCTGCTCTTGTTCGCAGCGCTACTGCGAGAATATTCTTGGGCTCGGCGCTCTGCGGGCTGCCTTTTCCATAGTGCAGCCTTGATCTGGACCGCCAGTCGCAGTGGGAAACTTGGCGATGGGCGTTGGGGTCGGCTACACAGGGCGTGTGCGCCCTAGCCGCGCAGAGTCCCTAGGGCCCCTCACGCCCCCTCAACCTCTTTGGGGTTGGAGGCCCGAGGATCTCAGAGATAATCTGCCGAACACCTTGCAGCAGGCGTTCACAAGCTGTGGGCTCGCTATCTGTAACTGTGGCCCCCAGAGGGAGTAAAGAAGCCTCCTGGAAAACTCGTCGCCAGTGGTTGTCCCCAAATGAGACCTCCACATAGCAACCTAGAGCAGAGCCTTCAACACTCACGCCACCGTCCCATCCTCCACGGATGCGTTTGATACAATGTCTCTGTTGTCGCAAATATCTGAAGTCAATCCATCTTCCCGTCCTTCCCCTCCTCGCCTCCCAAGTCAGCTCATCCGCAAAACACTTGAACTCTCTGTAGATATGCTTCCACGGATCCGTCCCTACAGTGGCACACCTGATGTCGTAATCCTCAGCAAGTTGATTCTATCATTTTGTAGACCATGCACTCTCCTGCGGTACGAACGATCACGGCATTCCCAGATCCCTCGGGCCCAGTTCAACACACATACTATCCCCTGTCATTTCAACCGATAATGAGCCCTCGGGGCCTTCCTGCCAGACAGTTTCGTTGTTATACCCGTGGGCAATCCTACGAGCGAGCCTGTCGGAGTCCTCAGGGGAGTCCCACGTATCCACAGGACAAGGA